GCAGGACTAAGGGGGACAGGAACACTGCACTCAAACCACTTCATTCAGCGGAAGTGGTGTAGGTGCCTTTAGTGTCCCTTTAACTGTGGAATTTTGACAGCTCAGTTATTAGTTCTTAATAGTTTATCAGCCTGTTTCAAAGCTAGTATTTGGGATGGCGAAGATTCATACATTCACTTGATAACATTTTCCCATGGTCGTTGTATTGCAGCATTCAGAATTGGAGCACAGGCTATTTTCTGGTAAAGAAGAATTGCAGGAATTGAAGGAAGAGATCATTGACCTGAAGCACACAGCACACGCTATGGAGATAAAACTACAGACGCAACTCCAAATGGTATGTTTCTGGATTTGTATTATTTCAAGCAAATGCTTAGTTTCCCATTAGTATATACCGACTATCTAGACAAATATCTCTTGCAATGATCTTTATTAATTCCTTCAATACCATTATCGAGTATAAATATTTTTATTTTCATGTATTTTGCAGTATAAAATCTTGTTCATAAAGTCTTACTCATCCTCAATTATACAGTGATGGCTAACATGGACACCATAAATTGTTTCTGGACTACATTTCCCATGATGCTCAGCTAGCTTTTAGAGTCTAAAAGCTAGCTGAGCATTATGGGAAATGTAGTCCAGAAACAATTTATGGGTGTCAAGGTTAGCCATCACTGCTGTAGAGGAATTAATTTATCTGGCCGAAGCCACTAGTCACTTATATAATGAATGTAAGTTGCTTAAAATGCCTACTCAACCCCTGCTTTCAAACAGTACAGGAAGTGTGACTGGCTGATACCATTCTTACAGTCAAGGAGGGGGAGGAGTGAATGGGCTCTACCATTTCACTGTCAGCATTACATTAGCAGTTCAGAGATTGATAAAGATTTCTATAGCAGTTTTAGATACCTTTACATTAGAAATATATGATTTAATTGTATTTACTGTATGTGGGCAATGTGCTCAAATGCAGACATTATTTTTATTTATTTGTCATTTATTTCAAAACATGGTTTCCATGAGCCACCCACCTCCACCTCTACACATTCATCATGAAGCTGTCATCATCATTGTATCTTACTTTATTGTACAATTTACTTTGATTTGTTGGATTTAGAAATCGGTTCTCGAGACAAGTCTTGAAGAGACATTCGAGAATAACTCTGTGCAGCTCACAGAGCTTCAGAGTGACATAGACACCTTGCAAAGTCAACTGGAAGACGTCCTAATGTATATGAAAGATCAAGACCAAAAGTATGGGATTCTCAGTGACCAGAAAACATTCTTGGAGATGGAGATTGCTTCTTACAGACACCTGATCGAAGGATCTGGGTATGTATAACACACTGTGTTTCAAGTGCAATAACAAAAAAATTGATAATTCCTTGGGATATAAAGCCTGCGCCCTCAGCTTGGAGCAGACTTTGAGTTTTGGAGTTTTGGAGACATCGTCTACTGTTTTGTCAAACTTGTAGAGATTTTGCTGGCTTGATGTTCTTAGACAAGGTGATTAAGTCAGCTTTGTTTTTGGTTACCACTCGGACCTTAAATTTGAAATTCACTTAGAATTCAATTTGAATTCTCATTGTAGTAAATAACTCTGCTAGACTCACAAACTTATTTTACTCATCAAAATGCATTAAACTTAAAATTGCATTATTTGATTTCTAATCCAACTAATTATTACAGCTCAGTTACTGCAAATGTCAGTAGATTTCCTACATGGGCCAAATTATCCTATTGCAATCAATAATTCATTCTGTTTCACACATATATACTTTACCCACAGCTCTGCACAAACAAATAAATACCTACATTGGATTCCCAAATCCTTTAGGGTTAGGTTAATTAAGTCCTAACACTAACACAAAACCTTAAAAACAAACCTAAACTAAATTAATCTTTTCTAATTTACACCCATTATTATTCACTATGCTCTGACAGAGGCCATTAATAGTTTCAACTTTGTTGTTTCTATACATATCTACAGTTAAAGGATCACTATAGGATCAGGAACACAAACATGTATTCCTGACCCTATAGTGTTAAAACCACCATCTAGCCCCCCTGGGCCCCTTTGGCCGCCATAAATATAGCGAAATCTTACTGTATTCAAGCCTGAAGCTATAGATGCTGTTTGCCTAAAAAAAAACACCAAGTAGTATGCTGACATCATCAGAAGTGGTGGCCTGATCCAATCACAATGCATCCCCATAGGATTTGCTGAGACTGACAAAGAGGCAGATCAGGGGCAGAGCCAGCATGATTCAAACACAGCCCTGGCCAATCAGCATCTCCTCAAAGAGATGAACTGAATCAATTAATCTCTATGAATAAAGTTCAGTGTCTGCATGCAGAGAGAGGAGACACTGAATGTGTGGATGCATTTTAGGCAGCCATGACCCAGGATTGATCTCTAACAGCTATCTGAGGAGAGGCCAGTAAAGTTATCACTAGGCTGTAATGTAAACACTGCACTTTCTCTGAAAAGACAGTGTTTACAGCAAAAAGCCTGAAGGTAATGATTCTACTCACCAGAACAAATTCAATAAGCTGTAGTTGTTCTGGTGACTATAGTGCCCCTTTAATACTTACAGAACTTTATTAGGAGCCCTAACTCATTCATTCTGAAATTTTTATAGTCTCCATTCCATTAGCTCCCTAAGAATATGTTTGAGTATGTATTTTATTTTAAGGTAATTGCTTTCTCCAAAATAATTTGTCCTATCCCACAACCGTGCTTCCCAAGTCTTTTTAAAGATATAATCTAGTGTTAGGAATGCAGATGCTAGAGTGTTATACTGTTTGGTTAGAATTGGAGGGGGGGACTTGTGCGCATGCAACAGAGAAAGAAGAATAGTTAAAGAACAGGCCGAGGTCAAGGGAGTACAGAATAGTGACAATATAGGTAAGTATAGCAAGGTCAAGATTGAAGAGCTCAGAGAGGTCAAAAGCAAAATAATTCCTAGTCTGGTGCTCCATGCAAGATCTCCCTTTGTGGAGTTCCAATGATCGCGAGAACAGCGAGGAATCAGCCCAGAACTACACAGGAGGATCTTGTTAATGATCTCAAGACAGCTGGGACCACAGTCACCAAGAAAACAATTGGTAATACACTACACCGTGAAGGACAGCGCCTTCAACGTCCTCCTGCTCAAGAAAGCACATATTCAGGCCTGTCTGAAATTTGCCAGTGAACATCTGAATGATTCAGAGGAGAAGTAGATGAAAGTGTTGTGGTCAGATGAGACCAAAATCAAGATCTTTGGCATCAACTCAGCTCGCCGTGCTTGGAGGAGGAGAAATGCTGTCTGTGAACCCAAGAACACAATTCCCACCATCAAACATGGAAACATTATCCTTTGGTGGTGTTTTCTGCTAAAGGGACAGGACAACTGCACCATTTCAAAGAGATGATGGACAGGGCCATGTATCATCAAATCTTGGGTGCCAGGGCATTGAAAATGGGTTATGGATGGGTTTTCCAGCATGACAATGACCCAAAACACATAGCGAAGGCAACAAAGGAGAGGCTCAAGAAGAAGCACATTAAGGTCCTGGAGTGGCTTAGCCAGTCTCCAGACCTTAATCCCATAGAAAATCTGTGGTGGGAGCTGTAGGTTCGAGTTGCCAAACTTCAGCCTCAAAACCTTAAAGGAATGCTTTAGTCACCAAAACAACTTTAGCATAATGAAGCAGTTTTAGTGTATAGATAATACCTTTGAAGTTGCACTGCTCCGTTCACTGCCATTTAGGAGTTAAATCATTTTTTTTGTTTATGCAGTCCTTGCCACACCATCCCTGGCTGTGATTGACAGCCTTCATGAAAAAAAAAATGGTTTCACTTTCAATCAGATGTTACTTACTTTAAAAGTTTTCATCTCCTGCTCTGTAAATTGAACTTTAATTACAAACAGGAGGCTCCTGCAGGGTCTAGCAAACTGTTAACAGAGTAGGAGATAAACATTTCTAAATTTAAAAAAAATCCAATATAGGAAATATAAACATTAGATGCCTCTTTGCAGGAAGTGTTTAGGACTGCTGTGCAAGTCACATGCAGGGAGGTGTGACTAGGACTGTATGAACAAAATTAATTAACTCCTACATGGCAGAGCATTGAGCAATGACATTGCATGGGCATGATCTGTACAACAAAACGTTTTGTGTTATTCTGTCTCTCACTGTTAAAATACACCTACCATTAAAATTATAGACTGATCCTTTCTTTGTCAGTGGGCAAACATTTAAAATCAGCAGGGGATCAAATACTTTTCCCCCTCATTGTATTTAGGGAGGCAAGGGGGGAAGGCAAGGGGACATGGGGAGGGGGGGAGGGGGTGAGGGAGGGAGGGCTAGATGGTGTTTTTAACACTTCAGGGTCAGCAATACATGTTTGTGTTCCTGACTCTATAGTATTCCTTTAATTACTTGAAATAAGCATAAATGGCTATTCATATGTTGATTATTATATTCATACACCACAACATTCATCTGTTTATTTTTTAATTTATGTAAGCAGAAAACCAAAATATAAATTAATCAAGAAGGATAAGCTTAAATTACACCCGACTAAATTCTGTCAAACTGCTCATACAAGGTGCTATTTAATAGAAGTGAAACATTAAATTGTAAAATGCCACTGATATTGTACATGTAACTTACTAAATCCTTAATTCATAGATATTTCTGTAGATTTTTTTTTTGTTTTCTTTAAATGTTTATGAGTTACTGGTATCCAAATATTTGTTTTGTTTTAGAATCCAATGAAGACAAATGAGCGAATATTCTGGACATCGGATAATGAATACCAGAAAATATATCGAACCCTATACCTGAAGCTTTGACAAGTCCTCCGATGTTTGAAAATGATTTCAATATCTGCTTTATTTTCTTTTATTCCTTAAATCCTGCCTTATCCTTTTAAAAATTGAGATGGAATATTGTATGTGTCAAATCCAATGATTTTGAAAGAAATGCATTTTATTTTAAAAGACATAAGTATTTTCTCTATTCTTAGACTCATGTAACAAATTATTTGGCCACCAGATGTTTGGTGAGAAGTGTTGAGTTTTCTAAAGATAGATAGATTTTTTTCTCTGCTACCAATGAACAATTGATAGTTTATTGGTCGTGCTTTTACTATACATGTCTCAGTATTAGACCAGATGTAAAGAATTACACTTTTATCTGTGGATACAGTACTGACATTTTCTTAGTTTTACAGTGAGGCATTTGATGTAATTTCTGGACATGTACCTGACCTTTCACGTAGATTGTGTCTAAAGGGATACCCTAAGCAACAAAACATTTTTAGCTTAATGAAGCAGTTTTAGTGTATAGATCATGTTTCAGCAATCACACTGCTCAAATATCTGCCATTTAGGAGGTAAATTATGCAGCCCTAGCCACATCTATCCTGGCTCCTACACAGCCTACAACAAAAGTTGGTTTTATTTTCAATCAGGTGTTTACTTTAGACGTTTTTATCTTTTGCTTTTTTTAATTGAACTTTAATCGCACACAAGTGGCCCCTGCGCAATAAAGGATGTTTAAATATTAGATCTCTCTTTCCGGGAAATGTGTAGGGAGACTGTGTAGGTGCCATGCAGGGAGGCGTGACTAGGGCTGCATAAATAAAGTGATAGTAACATCCCCTGGATTGGGGCAAAAAGTAACATTCCCAGGACGTACTTGGAAACTAGAGTAATCTGAATATACCTTTCCTGGTTAAAGGACCATTCTAGGCACCCAGACCACTTCAGCTTAATGAAGTGGTCTGGGTGCCAGGTCCTTCTAGGGTTAACCCATTTTTTTTATAAACATAGCAGTTTCAGAGAAACTGCTATGTTTATGAATGGGTTAAGCCTTCCCCAATCCTCTAGTGGCTGTCTCATTGACAGCCGCTAGAGGCGCTTGCGTGATTCTCACTGTGAAAATCACAGTGAGAGCACGCAAGCGTCCATAGGAAAGCATTATGAATGCTTTCCTATGCGACCGGCTGAATGCGCGCGCAGCTCTTGCCGCGCGTGCGCATTCAGCCAACGGGGCGGATCGGAGGAGGAGAGGAGGTAGAGAGCTCCCTGCCCAGCACTGGAAAAAGGTACGTTTTTACCCCTTTCTCCCTTCCAGAGCCGGGCGGGAGGGGGACCCTGAGGGTGGGGGCACCCTCAGGGCACTATAGTGCCAGGAAAACGAGTATGTTTTCCTGGCACTATAGTGGTCCTTTAAATACTCTGTTATTATTATTATTTAAAGCAGTATTGTCACTGTATGGGACCTTTTGCATCGCCACTGGGATCTGGTGGCTGGGGAAAAAGGTGAAGGAGAGTTCTACTTATCTGAGCCTGTCCTTTGTGGGTACAGTCATCTTCCTCCGGTAGGTCCTCTTCAGTTCTTGGTGCTTTAGAACCAGCAGCCAATGTCACTGCTTTCCCATTGCTCTTGTGCAAGAGTACAGCATTGAGTTCTATAGAGGATCCCACAAGACAGCAGGATCCTCCAGAGAGCTAATTCCCTGTAGCTGTCACTGGTGACGGTTGGGGGGATTGACACTTCTAGAGGGCCAGTCATGCTTGGGAAAAATGCATAAGCTAAAGTTGTTCCTACTTTGTCTCATGTTTTTAGTTAGAGATAGATTAAAAAATGAAAAAAGGAAGACAGATTAGGAAAGAGGAAGAGAAGAGGAAGCGATCGGGAAAAGGTAAGTACAGCGTGACAGTGACGCGTTAACTCCTAAATGGCAGAGAATTGAGCAGTGAGACTGCAGGGGCATGATCTATACACCAAACTTGCTTTATTAAGTTTAAATTGTTTTGGTGCTTATCGTGTCTCTTTAACATATGATCACTGTAACTGCACAATATGTAGCATGAAACATAACTCTTTTGTGGAACATAATTGGATAATGGCTTGCCCTATGGCCCAATTTACTGTTGGTGTCATTTATAAATTGATAGCTTGGATCCACTGCCTTGCAGAAAACATAAGTGTTTCTATAAAGAGAGTGGACAGTAGTCTAAGAAGCCTTGAATCTAAGCTCCTAAAATGTCTGGACGCTCAGATCTCCAAGAGCAGAGCTCACTAATGTTCACACAACATATCGCTTTGGCTACTGCTTAATCTCTCTATGACGGGAGCAGGCAACCTTCGGCACTCCAGATGTTGTGGACTACATCTCCCCTGATGCTTTGCCACAATTTTCTCTTTAAAAGCATTCTGGGGCATGTAGTCTGCAACATCTGGAGTGCCGATGGTTGCCTATCCCTGCTCTATGATGTCAGATTTCACTGCTTTATGCGTACATTGAACCAACTAGCACTAAACATGTTTCACATGATTACCCTTATCTTGTAAAAGTGTCTTTCACACATTCTGTTAGTTGTGTTGTCTAGTAATATATTATGCTTAGACTCATATGTAATTATGTTATTGTACTAGCTTAGAGTAAGAAAATACTCATGAATTGGTAATATTGCATTTCAGAAGTAATCATGGCGGTGGACAACGATGATTAGTACTGACTTTCTGGTTTTCATGAAAATGCTTTCAATATGATAATTTCCTTTTCTTGGTTAATAAATCGCTTCCTAACTTTTCCAGTCTGTTGTCACACCTGAACCCGTTACTTATTTTCCCATCTCTTGTGTGTGTAAACACTAGAATTCAATTTAACTGAACAACCCAGAGCTTGAGTCCAACCCTGAGTGTAGAATATTTTAGAGGCATACTGAAAAGAATTACAGTGGAGAATAGCACTAATCACTGTAGAAAAAAACAACAACCCTTTAACTTAGGCAAACATACAGACAAATATTCCTAACTTTAGAGTATCTTTTCAGTAATTTTGATTTAGCCCACCCCCTTAACATGTTAATTAAATTAAATATTGATTCACCTTTTATCTCCCACTATGCTGGTTTCACTGTGGCCACCACTAGGATCTCGCTAAGATCATTAATATTAATGATGACCTCAACCAATCCACTGTGTCTCAAAGAAAAGCATAGGGTAGTCTACTGTGCGTGGGGATCGATCGCTGGGCTGGGCCAATAGGCATATACTCATTGAGATGCATTCTACTAATACACCCCTACGGGGAGATTAATCAGTGCTTGGCGTCATCATGGTGGGCACGTGGATGCTGAACTTGAGTCCTGTGAACATTGCAGGACTGCAATGGGGAAGCGTAAGACTGACATCAGGTAAAGGGTGTTCTTACCAACTCAAAGTAAATAGTGCTCTTTCACAAAAAAAGGTAGTATTTACAAACAAAAGGACGTAGGGACAGGTGCTTTGCACCAAAGCCACTACTTTAAGATGTAGTGGTTCTAGTACTGAGAGTGCCCATCTAAACCACTGGCAATGATGACAATAAAATGCGTTAACACTTTTTATGTGATATGACCTATGAAATTGTGATGAATGTGCAGACCACCTCAACATCTTAAAATATAAAATATTATGTTGAGATTTAAGCAGACACACTTTTTAAGCTGATCAAACACTATAATCATCACAAAAAACATCTCTCCTTTACCAGGATTTAATTTAGTAATCAATTTAATTTAAAAAAAGTTTTAGTTGACAAAAATGGCTACACATTTATTTACTTATTGTATAGTTTCTCAAATTAATAAATCCTGGCTGATATTAATCCAGGAACTAATATTCATATGTGTTTTAATTTAATATTTACTTGTATGTTATTTTTTTTCTTTACTACAAAATTATTAATGATAATACTGACTCACACACTTGCATCACAGGGATATATAGAAACAGTATAATTGGTGATCGCTCGCTGATGCATGTTAAGGTATACCTCTGATGCAATTATCAGTAAGATGAAAATTCCTCTTGGTGATGTATGGCACATTCACACATATCTCCACCATCAACAAATAACTTAATTACAAAGTAAAATGGCACCCATTATAGATGGGCACTCCATATCATAATATACTAATTTAGGCTAACAATTTTCAATAATCTACATGTGCCTAATAATTTATATATCAATAGAAAGGTCTAGCGGGGAAACAAACTTGTTTTCCTTCAGCCACTTACCTTTATCCAGCACGGGGCTCCCTCGGCACTGGTGACTTCTCCTCCCCTTCCAACGTCAGCTCCTGAGTGGAGTCGAATGCGCATGCGTGGCCAGAGCAGCGTGCGCATTAAAAACGATCATAAGAAACCATTTCTCAATGCTTTCCTATGGACGTGAGTGTCTTCTAACTGTGATTTTCACAGTGAGAAGTATGGAAGCGACTCTAGCTACTGTCAGGAAGACAGCCACTAGAGGCTGGATTAACACTGCAATGTAAACATAGCAGTTTCTCTGAAAAGACAGTGTTTCTATAGGGTTAAAAGCTGGGGGACCTGGCACTCAGACCACTTCATTGAGCTGAAATGGTCTGGGTGACTATAGTGGTCCTTTAAAATGGCCTCCACTGCTGACTAAATTGTTTTTAATTCAGTGACACTTAAAACAAAAGCTTACTTCAGAGCTACATGTTATGAAGTCTGATTGCAGACCTGAAAATGCATATTTTACATGCAACACAATTAAGATGGCAATATTGTCTCTCTAAGTCTATACTTTTCAACATGGTGGTCACTGACTGGTCAAATTCAGCTAATTTCAATTCTATTAACCATACAATATAACTTTTAACCTCACATATCGAGGTTTCAATATCCAACCAGAGATTTTTTAAACATTGTATGAGCTTTGCCAGCCATATTGAACCAACTCCAGCTACTAATATAGAACTTGCTAAATGGGTGTCATATACCACAAGACACTTGCTTCTCTTATCCAACCATTTCTTCATTCTTTCAGCTTCATTGTAAGCTGCTAATCAAACTTAAGATCATGTCAACCACACCTACTTCCCTCACCTGCTAGGTTAACATCACTTTAACTTATCACATCATAATGATTATTTTACCAAACCATTACTTAAATGCTGACAGGTCTGATTGCAAGAATAAGCAATGCCTGGACCTGTTGGATGTGCTGTAGGCCTCAGTATCTTACACGTTTTAGCCACATATTAGCAAGGCCATGTCTACAAGCACAATAGAAGGTGGTGAGATAGTGCGCAAAACTACATACATTCTTAATGATAATTGCATCGCAGTCTGTGGTCTCTCTGTCACCATAGTTCCTTTTCCGAATTTCTCTAATTTAGGCTACAAAATCAGGTTCACATTCCTGCTGTCTTGTGGGGTCCACATTGATGTGGAAATCAATCAATAAATTGATTATCTTACGTGTCCGCCCCTGGCCAAATTAAAGAAGTAATACCTGCACGCTCCTAAAGTAATTCACACCAGACACAAGTTTCGGGTTAATTAAAAACTTGAGGAATGTTTATTCTGAGGGGACGGCATGTCCCTTATAAAGCAAAATTACATCATGTGCATTGTCAGAGATAACATGAAATAATACATCAATAATTGGTTAGGTGTTAAGTGGTTTATTTAGTGCTCTTCCTATCGGGTGTGGCATCACTTGTATCTTGGTGGTCTCCCCCAGATTCCAGCACCATCTTGTTAATGAGGGTGTTAGTCGATGTCAAGAAGGAAACTCCCTAGCGGCCATTTTACGTAAATCACATAGAAAGTTGAATAATGCTGATTGTAGTTATGCTGAGTAAATAGGCATTTTACTAACATGGATTGGGTTAATATTTTTGTCCACAACAGTCCCACCTTAAAATGACCATTTACTAAGATAAAAGAGGACAGACAACTACTAACTAGCCCTAATGATGTCACTAATTGCCTGCAGCTCATCTGTCTGAACAGGCCTCGAACACTTCACTGCGCATTTATCCCGCAGCGGCTAACCCACTACATCTCCTGCGTCAGACTTCTGCCCGTAGAGACAGACGCTATCCCTATGCTGTCCCTAAATGGAAGTAGTTGTCTGTTTGAGGTGGTGGGACTGAAGAGGTGTGTGAGGGATATCACAGTCCATTTCGTCAGTATCCTGATGTAGGAATGTAGGTGTAGTGGGGTCAATAGTTTGACCTACAATACTTCTGTACACAGGGTATTACACAGCAAGTCAGGAAGAGAAAGAGAATTACCACAGTAAGAACTGCCATACCTACTTGAAAGAGAGTTTTCTGCCATCCACTCATCCATCCAAACCATCTGTCCCATGAATTGGGGACTCCCGAATTCCTCTTTAATTCGTCAGAAAGACATTCTAATTTCTCTATGGCCATGGTTACTTTACCGTTAGGGCCTGTATTGTCTGGGAGAAAGGTACAGCATGTCATAGTATCGGGGAGTATTTTGCACACGTCCCCCTTTTCTGCTAGGATCATATCTAAGGCCATTCGATTCTGGAATGTCATTTGAGAGGTAGTCTGTAATTGTTCTGCTAAGCCCTGGAGGGCATCTCTGGTATAATTGACAAATCGTTGCTGGTTATAGTAAATATAATTGATCCAGTTAACATTCTTGTTGGCAGTGATGAGTGAGATCAAGGATTCAAATCCTGCCGCCACTTCATCTCTGGCCTTGAACTCATTTGGTACCCCCCTTGGTACTCCAATGGCATCGATGTATACATGCGGGTCAAAACTACCTCGAATGGGGGTTTCTCTTTTTACTCTAAGATACGTGTGTGGTAAATCGTATGGGCCTTGGTGGTTATCAGGATATATGTGTATGGGCATGATAACTTTAGTCAGAGCACACTCTCCTCACCACAGGCCAGTCATCTTTGATCTGAGCTGCATGTCACCACATAGCCAATAAATATCTCCCACAGATTTAACTTGATCTGTGGCAGTGGGAGGTTTTCGATAAGTGGCACAGTAGCCAGAGGGGAATTTACTTACAAATTTACCTGTAGTTCCATATATTGTGTAGCAAGTGTAGTTACCTGGGTACACGGTGATGCCATCAGGTGGCCTGATACTCCCTTGGGTTATTGGGTAAACCTTCTTCCATGATTCACACACTGATGAATTAATTGCTGACTGTGCATAAAGGCTTAAGAAACACATCTCAACTTCTAGAGGCAAATTTAAAGGCAATGTACCTAGATGGGGTCGAGCCCCACCACAAACATAACAGTTGGTCTTATTGTGTGAATTAGCATTATATCTCATCCACTCAAGCCATAGATTAGTATCTGAAAACCCGGTCTCCACAGCCATAGTGTCTTCAAATGTGGGATTGGCAATAGCCACCATGTCTTTAAGGGTTTTGATGTGTGGTTTGAGAGGATTAATGGTCGTGTGTGGAGCCTACCCAGTCAGGTGACATAAGCATGTCTTGTAAATAGAAGGTTCCCAACATATTATGTGAGCCACCCCCTTTCCAATACATTCCCATTACGTACTCCCCGGCGTCTCCTGGGCTAGGACGTTCTATGTTTAAGGTGAGCTTCATTGGAATAGATCCTGTTGGCTTACACAAGGTCATTCTGTATAACAAGGGTTTCCCATTTCTGTCAACTCTATCAAAGGCACTTTGTGGTCTGAAACCCCAT